TTCTATCTTCTTGGTTTCAACAAAATCTACTAACAATTAATATTTCAAAAACATCTTATGTAATATTCAAGGCAACAAATAAACTCATTCCTATCTTTCAACCGCTTAAAGTTCAAGACGTTGAAATCAATAACAAAAAATGGGAGAAATATCTGGGTCTTAGAATGGATACAAATTTAAAATGGAACTTTCATATATCACACATAATTACCAAACTAAAATCACTTATAGGCAGATTTTGGTCAATATCTAAATGCATTCCGCAATCTGTACGTCATTTGATCTATAATTGTTTAGTCAAGCCACATTTCATATACCTAATTGAAATATGGGGTACAGCATGCAAAAACAAAATTTCTACAATACAAACACTACAAAATAAATTAATAAAAGCACTATTCAGATACAATTTTTTAACACCTACTAATAAAATCTACCAAGAAACTAAAATTATGACGATTAAACAACTATATGTTTATAGCACCTGTATCCTTATTAAAAAAATTTAAATAACTCTCTACATAGTAACTTATCATTTAATAAAATCAAATACACCACTACACGCAATACTCGTCGAGCGAGTTTGCTTATCTTGCCAAAGCCGCGCACAAATTATTTAAAGAGATCTATTAGGTATGAGGGTGTGCAATTGTTTAATCGGTTGCCGTCTAAGCTTCGTAACATTAGCGTGATTGATCAGTTCAAAAGGGCATTAAAGACACACATCAGAATGGGCCCATTAGACTAGAATTGGGCTAGCTGATGGCGACGTGTATCTCGTTCGTATATATACTTAATATTAAATTTCTCATGTAAATAAAAAAAAAAAATTTTTGTAATGAGAAATAAAGTTCTTTAAACATTAAACATTAAACATTCGCGAGGATTTTTATACTTACTAAACAAAATCTTATTGACATAGTATCAATTATTTCTGTATAAAATTTTAAGTGTGTGTATATTTGTAAACATCGATTAATGTTTCAAGGAATTAGTGAGACTTAATTAGTAAATATGGAATTATATGTATCAAGTAATAAGAACAATTACAATAAATCGTCTACAGCGTAGGGTCTCTACGCCGTAGAGGGTCAAACCTCTGTAGCACAGTTTGTAACAAGGAATTTGCGTTATTCTATTTTCAAAGCGTAACAATAACTTAAAATTGAGAAACTAGGGAACTATCCCTACATCCCTTGGTAGTACATATTATTATATATAACAATCAGACCAAGAAGACATCAATCTAATGTATGAAATATGTGTAAAAAAAGTTTTCCTCTCTAGTATTACTACAAATCATTTTGACGTGTTGTATTTTTCAAAACGTTCATGTTGTCACGTATAAAAGCGTCCGGTCCACTTCCACAGTTGGAGTTCATGGAGCAGGGTTAGGAAATGTCGGACAGCGTTGTAAAAACGCCATTAAATTTGTATACATTTCATATATTTGTGATGAAATTTAACCCATTTTATTTGAAATGTAAATATATGAATTAGCGATTTCTATGTTTACTGATAATAAAAATGAATGTTATTTATATCTTAAACTTAAATTTTATAAAAAAAAATTATAATGTTCCTAGGAAATTAAATTTAAATATTATACGCCTTGCGCCCGGTTCCTATATCAAGCGCAACTAACTATTGTTACTAGATAGATAGATATATTGTTACTAGACTTAGAGTTTTTAAATGTAAGTTAAAAATTAAACAACTCCGCTATTCCTTTTCTTTAGTTATCATGACTTGTATTTTGCATATATATAATCAAGGCGTAAATCTAACATTATATTTAAAACCAATACGAATCACCAATTCTTTTCGGCTCTTTACTCTTTACCCTTGGGGCAACTCTTAAACAAAAAAAAAATCAACGAGAAATAGATAAATAGGTAAATTTCCTGAAACAAATAGTGAACATTTAAATTAGCACAAAATATAATTAGCAACGAAAACAAAGACGCACCATGAACAAACTCTTACACGACGTCTGGAAATGCCATAACTAGGACACTGGTGAAATTTCATATTCAATTTCTTGGCAAGACAGATCTTTTGTTTAATCTATTGAAATACAGATGTTCTATTTGTCACCAGAATTTTCTTTTCTGGCTTAATACCAGTTATATGTACAGAATAATAGCTAGACTATTGAAAGTGACTCTATTAAAAAGGTAGATACATAAGTCAATGATCAGCCATTTGTGCCTTTCAAGCCACAATCTTTGACGCCTATTGAAACTGTCATACGCGATTTGCAAGGGAAATTGTAACTTATTGTAAATGAATTGTATTGTAAAATTCACATAAATTTTGATTTTGACGACAGATAGAAATTAGAACTTTTAAGCTCTGAACTAAATTAACGATTGAAAAATTGTTTAGAGTTTTCTTTTTATGAATTTTGTTTTCGATAGATTTAATATATTATGAGCAATATTCAGTACAATGACCCAACTGACATTGATTAAGACAACTTTTCCGTGAACAGCGAGTCTATTTGTTACGTTTTGTCCCATTTACAACATCAAAGAGAAATATATACTCATACAATCGTGTCGGGGCTAATAAGCAGGTGATAACAATTTTATAACGTTAGAGCAGTATGATTTGTGGTAATTACTGCGAAATTAGATTTGGAACAATATTTTTAATAATTATGTCACAGGTAATGTGCACTGTGTAGGTGTTTCCGGTACATAAAAATAAATTATTCATATGGTGAACCATTAATGAAAATATTGCGGAAAACTAACATAACCATAACATAAACACTGCTCTTGCAAAAAAAATCCTAGTATATTAAAAAGTAATGAGCGTTTAGTTTTTTCATTATAAGTATATTTAGCGGTATTTAGAACACGTCTCGCGAACCTGAAACATGTCATAGCAAAGATAGCATATAAATCACTTCATATAATAGCCATTAAACAATAAAATTGATATATGAGTTGGAAAAGATTACACTGAATTTCTCTATTTTTTCTAAAATTAATTAGAAAACATATTGGAGGTGACTGAGTATTTTAAAAATGTCGACCTGCGGGAATGAAGATTTGTTTCGGAATGCGGTTGTATGTTATTTTTATTAGCTATTATAATTTAAATAATTAAGTTTAAATTGAATAACTAAGTAAAAATTTGACTCTAACAAGTCGTTATCTAGGATTTAAAACTCAAATAAATTAGCTTCAAAGTTTTTTAAGTTCTTCTGTAGATTCTAGATCTGACATATTTCTGACAAACGAGTCAATATTGTTTAGTATATAGGTCACCTAAAATTTCTAGACATTACGCAATCCAGCTCAAACAGCCAAACTAATGTTTATCCATTAATAACGAATTAAGTGGGCCATGACCGAAAATAATTTGAATAACGTTGACAACCCTGCCACGCTTTGTGTTTTCCAATCGAACAGACCTGGCTACATAATACACATTAATTAAAATACAGTCTTCTTCACATAGTCTATACTCTATATCTATCCTTATATATTAAGTGGAAAGATTCATATGTTTGTAACAAAGTAATAAAATGATTTCCAAAGGGACATTAAAAAAATAATAATAAAAAAACCAGTGGCGCTACAACCTTCTTAAACCTCAGATTTCTGTATCGGTTTCATGATCATTTGTCAATCTAATAGGCAAGTAGGTGATCAGCCTCCTGTGCCTGTCACACACCGTCGAATTTTTGGGTCTAAGGCAAGCTGGTTTCCTCACGATGTTCCTTTACCGTCCGAATGTTAAATGCGCACATAGAAAGAAAATCAATTGGTCACAGCCGGGGATGAAACCTACGACCTCAGGGATGAGAGTCGCACGCTGAAGCAACACCAAAGATACGTTAGGTTATATTTATTTAGATAATATTTAAAACACACAGACTGATTAGACACAGGCCTAGTATAAAATAAACTCGCTAGCAGCCATTTCTATGCTTACAAATATTTACTACGGATTTTAAATCGTTTCCATCGAGTGAGTGATTCATGAGGAAGGTTGTACATATATCACTGCATAGTATAATCATTTTGACGTACGCCTACATTTTAAACTACGGTTTCTTGTTTCCAAGTGCATATTATAACAGTTTGTCGACGTTGAAAATTTCTAGTAAAATATTCTAATAGATACATAGATAAGTTAACACGAAAATTCACACGAGAAATCTTTGATATCTTTGATTTCATATTCCAACTCGGACATTTAAGCGATTATGCCAACCAAATATATTATGTATAAATTAATTTGTTAGTTTAGTTTTGTGTACCCGTAAGTTCTGTTACCTTACAAAGATTTAACAATTTATGTTATTTGACTAAGTTTGAGTTTCTTAAACTCAAAGGAATCAGACTCTTTATTTTACATCCAATTGAATTATGTACTTTTAAATTAAATAAAGTATATGTTTAAACACAATTTTTAGCAGAACATTTTTTATGTTAACAGTAAAAAGTAGTTTAGTAGTACTTCTAGTATTGTCCCAGTAATCAATAGAATTGTTTGTCATATACCGTTCGAAAATATTTTCAATAGCACGTCAATCAAATGTGTTTGGTTAACAGTAACGGAAGCAGAGTGAGATTTATAAGCGGCCGAAGTGTAATCGATTTTAGTGCCAATAACTCAACTGCGATAGTTTATAATATCATTTCACAAAATTCATCATCAATTTTTTTTTTAACTTCGAATATACTTTATCGTTGTGTACGTCTTTAGAAATGAAAGAAAATTAATAATTGGGGAAGTCACTGTACCTCTGTACACATATTCGCATTCGATAGAACTACTAAGAAGTTGTGGAGCCATTCTTCCTAGCAGAATTCCTTATTTGGGGATGGCCTGTTTTACTTAATATTTTTGTATCATTTTACTTTATCCCTTCGACGTACGATTATCTATATATATATATATATATATATAGCAGTATAAACCTAAATATTAAAAAATACAATCATAGGAGGAATAGATATGGTTTATGTTACATGAAATACCTTTCTCCGTTCTGTTTCGGGGCAGCTTTCACTTTTGGGTGATTTTTCTTCGGACGCACTGCAATCTTATGCCTGGCTGCTGAAGAGTCCAGTAGTTCCACCTCTACATCGAGCTCTTTATCAAGCCGGGACCTGGAGTGAATGGAATGAGTGAGAAGGTACCAACGCATTATCGTGGCTTTGAAATGAGATCAAGACATGATAAGACATAAGTTGTGTAAGGTACAATCATGCAAAATAGATTATGTTTTCGAATACTTTAGTGAAATAAAGTACCTTTAATTAAATTACGTAAATAAGTTCTAATGAAGGTGTTATATGAAGATTCTTAGAAATTAATATAGTTCTTTTAGCCAAGTACCTACTACATAATGTGGCGAATTTTATATTAAGTACGCAACAAAAGCACAATCATGCTTTGGATATTTCGTACTTATGATTGGTATTATATATCAAAATACTTGTAAAGATTTATCAAATTGATAAAACATCCTAAAAAGTGTTGATCCCTTATTTTTTGCTGATCACTGTAAATAGAAAGATTTTCCTAACTGTTGTTTTATTGACGAAATATTTGTTTTGCTTATTTATTAAGTCATAATACTGATGCATTTGTTATTTATTATATTAAGGGACCGAACAATAAAATTTTTAACACATTTGGAATTATTCGAAATAAAGACGTTCGTGACAAAATTTCACACATATTAAATTACAATACTTTTGAAGCTATTTGCAGTTTGGCTCCAATCATCCAATATTTCTTCCTGTATGATAAAGAGTGGGCTGGGATGACTGTATCGTGTTGCCATCAATCACTCAGGCTGTCACACCAAGAACATTACAATGTCACGGCCTAGCACTAACGTGACTTTCAGAATTAGATATCTATAGGTACCATACAAAAATTAGAATGACGTATAACCTACGCGTTTGTCGGCTTCAGTTACCTTATATGTATCTAAGCAATAAAATCGATATTAAGAGGCCACTTATGCCAACACACACACGCTTATGTGGCACACACCCTAAAAATTCAAATTGTTTTGTTTATAACATATACATAGTAATGAAAATTATATAGAAGCTCCCCTGGCACATTCTATATATATTCAGCTTTTCCATAACTTATACAGTAATAAATACGTGTATTGTGTGATTTGTGGACTATGTATGAGTTTGTGTGTGATTGTGTAATGTGATATAGCAGCCATTAAATCCGCCACTACAATTACTTAGTGGCTTCCATTTTCGCATAACTAAATTGTCTTTAATTTTTCGAAAGTAGTTTTATTTACTTTATAAAAACGAAATCATTATAATTACACTGCTTTAACATAAGCACAAAAGCTTAAAACAGAAAGAAATGAAAGTATTGTCTTTGATTAACATAACTTTTATTCATTTAATAAAACACTATTTTGACCGGATTGAAGTTATGTATTATTATAAATTTACAACTATTTAACATAATTTTAAATTTATCCGACGTTTCGCGTGCTTTACAGCGTGCGTGACCACGCACGCTGTAAAGCACGCACGTGTAAATTTATAATAATACATAACTTCAATCCGGTCAAAATAGTGTTTTATTAAAAGAAATGAAAGAGTAAGTCAGTTAAAGCACTGATTTACGAATACTAGATTCATTTTTGCAAATTTATTTGATAGCAAAGTAATCAAAGTCTACGATGACTTAAAGCTTGTTCCAGATGTCGATGGGCGTCGATCGACCCAGCGGAAGAAATCATTTTTATCATTTTAAAACCCGCAGAAATCTCAGCAATAAATCATCCATGTAAACGCCATTCAAGTTAGACCGGTAGCATGGTGATTCTATTTCAGGCTGCCCCAGAAACTGTGTGACGTAAATGACGGCACCATTCTCGCAATTACCTCGTGTCATTGTGTCGATTTTATTAAAATACGTGTAAAACATGTTTTTACAGTTGTCGAAATTCAATTTAACATGCTGTATTTATTCCAATTTTAAATTAACACGGTTTTGCTTTAATATTGATATAAATTGGGCAGTTTGAATGATGTTTGAGATTATTTTATTAAACTTCTCTTAAATTTTGTGGCTTTTTTTTATAGAACAACTAGAAGAGCTTATTTAAAAATCTTTGGTCATGGACTGCAACGCCGGGACGCTTGCGAGATTAAAATAGTATTAATTAAATTATCTACGAACTTTGTCAAAGAGCAAGAATAAAAAATTTGTTACTAATATTGCATTTATACTTTGAAATCACAGATTATCTCTCAACTGACCATGCATTCAGATACGATCCCAAATTTTTTGCATACTTACACCGGAATCCTAGCTATAAAACCAGTGATAAGAGGTTCTTTCTATAGATATAACGATACGTAGAAATTACTAATGACACTTTGGCAACAACTAATTAATGTATATATATAGGAAATTCGTTATATTGACTATAGTATACCGTAGTGTCTCTTCGCTGAAGTTTCGTAGACTATATTTTAGTAGAGTACGTACTACCAGTTTCAAGGCAATTATTATCTGTATAGCTAAGTGGCTCGATTCATCTTTACAAGTGGACTTTCTTAGAACGCATTGGCTGTATTCCAGACTTCAAAACCGATAAGCCAGATAAGCTGCTTATATCGGTTATAAACAACAAGGAAAAACTACAACATGGGGCATGGTTACCATTTTTTGAATAATAAATCCTACAAGCCTCAAGTCCCACTTTTTTATAACGCAGCAACAGTATTCAGATAGTAAATGAGTTTTTAAATATATAAAAATAACTCTAGTTTCATATGAAGGTACCCTATTTTATTATGGTAATTTTTTCTGTATTTCCGGCTCCAATCATCTACTATAATATTCTTTTATTTTTGAGACATTTAAATCAAATAATAGGTTCTATATAATTATTATTCAATAGGTAATATTTGTAGAATGAAGAAAATATTAAAATAAATAGGTAATATAGTTATCTATATCTCAATGTTTTATTGTTAAACTCTGTTGACACGATGAGAAGTCTAATCAGTGAAGACAGAGTAAAAACTATTGTAGGGTTATTTTTATATAAGTGTTTAATTTAATAAACGGCTTCTTTAACTCTATTTCCTACTAAAATGTAATCAACACCAGTAGGTAACGCCGTAGCATTTCTATCGAATGATTCACAGTAATCTCGTCCTAAGAATATCCACAGGCCTTTCGACATTTCAGATGAAATGGCATCTACTTTGCCATTTGATAATATATATCTTAATAAAGTTCATTATAATATATACAGCTTTTGTTAAGATATCAACAATTACATTTTTGAATTGTGATATATAATTTGTACTGTGATAGACTCATACTTAAATTTGGTTGGTTTTAAATTTAAACGCAAGGTCAGAGAGTATGCTAAAACGCATTTTTTGCAAACTGTTATAAAAATAGTCAATACTTAATTCATGTCTTTCCTTGTTTTTAATCAACACCATCAAATTAATAAAAAATAATATTACTTTACCTTTAATAGAAAAAAAATTTACATTATATCAGCTTACCGATTCCTGGCTGGAGAAATGGATTAAAATCTAAGTAAGCAGCCTGTCGAACTCCAATTATAAAAATACTCCTCTATGATAAACTTAACTTAAGAACTAAAAGGAAACTCCATGATTTTTATTGTCTTTATTAAATACATCGCTTTGCAATCTGTTACAGTGACAAATGACGATAAATTTACTGACAATAGTTATCACAACATATACTGATCACAACGAACGCAATAAGCAAGTTATAGTCCGTCATGGCTATAGCACATTGTAGCCTAGGGTTTGTATGCAAATATTAAAGATTTTAATATAGATTAGAAATTACTTAACATAGTACCATTTTTATTTTCATTTTGTATTTATACAATACGCATGTAAACCCATAGCTGTAATTTAAAAACTAAACTTAATAATAGTACATCTTATATATGGGGACACTAAAAACATAGTCTAAAGAGGGACCTCGTGACTGGAAGAAATGATTGTCGTATCTATATACACGTCCCCTGTACCTGCATAAATAATAGGCTCATTACGTATTTTAATGATTAATGATTGATGAGAGCGTTTAGTAATGAATTAACGCTTAGTATGTTAATTAAAGTATGTATTCTTAATACATTATAAATTTAAAGCTTTCGTGCTGAACAGGATCTTATAGTCATTTCCTTTTCCCTCACTAAGTGGGGAATCGCACAATTTCTTTATAGGCAAGTTTATTATTAAGTGACTTATCAATGATTATTAATTGTGAGTGTGTAATAATTATTGTGACAGTTAACAACTAAGCTACTTTTAAAAGTTCATCTACTATCAAAATATTTTAAATGCGAAAGTTTGAAATGAACGTTGATTCAATGCAATTGGATTAGTATTAAATGTTATGTTGCAAAGGAAAACAGATTTTTTTTAATTCGTAGACAGACTTCTCATGACACATTTTGATTAAAATATCTGTGTTTTTATATTATTTTAGATAAGGTGATATGGATCTTTTGCTTTCATATCTATTTTCTCAAGCTGGTGGTACAGTTACACTATCATAATATATCACGATATAGAATATCGAAGTAGCAAAGATCGCTAGAAAAGACGGGGAAGTACAACGACCTTTCTAAATATATGCGGAATCGTTGTCCAGTGCATCTGAACGATAAATAAACGCACTCCCAGCGTTTAACGATCACCCTAGTTTCGAAAGTATTAATATATACAGCAGACGTTGAAGTAGGCAACGTAAAGATTTATATTGGTTTGGATAAAAAGCTCGAAAAATGCTGCATTAAGAAAAAAATAATAGAACGAACGTATTCCTAATGTGGGTTAAATAGTTCGTCTACGCGATCTTTCAAATATTAGAAGTGAGCTTCTATCAACCGATAAAAATGAGTATTTACAGATAGTTCCAATATAAATTAAGTTCAATACTTTAATAGTTTTATTTTAGTATCGAGAGTAAATAGGTTAACTGAAAGATATGATGGTACAAGTTAATATGAGTTTTATTTTCGTATTCTTGATTAACAAAAGCCCAAGACATTGCTCAACATATCAGCTGTGTTAAATACATATTTATGATCGCAAATGAGGGCATGTTGTGAAAAGCGATTAAAAGATCAATCTGCTATTTAACAATGATTACAGCAATGAAGAATTGTTGCACACCTCAGCACTAATATTATATGAGACATTGTGCTTTATTTATAAGCTATTGGTATATTATTACGGAAATTGTATTACCTACATTTTGTATTACCAATGAACAATAATAACAAATTGTCAGCAATGGGTGTTGTTTTAAATTAAAACTAAAATTACCACAACCAGGACAGATATAGCAGATTGAGGGGCAAAATATGAAGATATACTCACTTGGAACCAAGGGTTGTTTTCGTATCAAGAACCTCGACAATATCCCCAGCCTTAACCGACACCTCGTCATCTGCCACCGCAGTATAATCGCTCGTTGCTACAACAACGTCGTCTACCTGTAACAATAAATACACACTTTTAAGACATTGTTTCAAAACGTAATTTGTAACGCAAAGGCACACAGATGCCTCATCTAATGTAGTGATTAAAGTATGTTTTGAAATGTTAGTTGGGAGTTACCTTCGGTGGACTTTTACTACATGTAGATCGCGATCTGGTCGAAGAACGAGACTGGTATCGTTTGTAACTCGGCGTGTAATCATAGTTATGAATTCTATTTCTAGTTGTTTCTCTGTCCGGATTAGCATAACTATATCTACGTCCCAATCCACCCAATCTTGTTGTTACTTGACTGTTGCTTATATTGCAGTATCCATTGTAGTTTTGTAAATCGTCATCTTTTTCGTCTGCGATTGGACAACTGTACATACTAAAGCGGTGAGCAATTGGTTGACTTAAGTTCAGAGCAGAAAATACATGGAGAGGCTCAAAATACTTTATTCCATTTTCATCGAGCACTGTGTAAGCTATTTCACCAGTTAGCACCGCTCTACTTGCTTCTCGCGGTACAACGGCCTGTAATCCTCTTTTCATAATCAATAAAGCACCGGAGCACTTCTTTCGCTTAAATAGGAAGTCTTCCATAGCGAGACTATTTTCAGGTTGAAGCAAACTCAAAGGCACGTCAGCAGAAGTCAATAAAGGAGCTTCCTCCGGTATGATCATGAGGGCAGCACTTTCTCGTACTAATTCCCTAAGTTTGGGATCTGTGCGAGCTGATTCGGGGCTTTCACCAAGCTGGACGAGCGCTTCGTGCAGATCTGGAGTTTGCTCAGCAAGTTTTCTCATTACAGTCAGTCTTTTTAATATGTTCATACTTATATCATCATTTGCGATTTGAGACAAGCTCGTATCATCTTTTAATACGTATAATAAGTGTTTTGCAACGTCGCTCATTCCCAGAACTCGGGCGAGGCCTATCGATTGCTTTATTAACTCTTTCAGTTCCTTTTGCTCTGGGTCCGTGTCTTGTAGCATATTAATTATAGTCTGGCTACTGGTTTCTTGGACGGCGGATACAATAGCTTTTTGCAAAGATTCTGCAGCATCCTGATCTGATTTCACAAATGAAATCATATCTGAAATGTGCCCTAGCACGTGATGAAGAAGATTTGTATCGGTTTTAGTAATGTTTTTAAATGCCGGACCTAGAACTTCATTTTCACTTTTTAAGAAGTCACTGAACTTATCCACAATTTCTTTTTCTGTAAAGGAATGATTTTCAGACGAACGATTCACAGCTATTCTTATCAATTCTAATTTGGGTTTAGTTGTGTTTTCCAATATCTCATCACACAGTATTTCTTTTTCGTCGTCTTTTTGAAGAATGTTATACATAGCAGTAACGAAATCTTCATCGATCGTTTTCCCTAGAATAGTATCAATAGATTTTAAAATTTGTTGATATTTTTCTTTTCCATTGTTATTATTAATCTCCTGGAATTGTTCTGCTGTAACTAAAGCAGCTAAAACAGCAGCGGCAATCGAATTCTTAATATTTTCTTCGTGTGCTTTTTCTTCAGACGTACTTTCGTTTTCTTTTGAATTTTCAATGTTTCTGCTTTTATGAGATTTTTCTGTCTTCACAACACCATTATTATTAGCATTTTGCCCTATTTCAGTTTTTAGATGTACACTCATTTCAATTATGGATTTTATAACGTCCATCAGTTGATTTGCTACAGTATCCTTAAGACCAAAATCTAATGCAAATTCTTTCAAAGCCTCAGCGTTTTTAGTTTCATTTAAAATAACATTAATCGCTGGTAACTCAGCAGGCACTTGTCTCCCAATGGACATTCCAGCTTCAGATAGTTGTTTTAACATATTAGTGTCTATTGTAAGCTCTCCTTTTGTTGAAGTAGTATCGTTAGGGTTGGTTTTAACTTTTAGAAGCTTTAGTTCCTCAGGGGTTACCAAAAAGCTTTGTACCGAAAATTCTAAACCCTCATCACCTTCGATCAAGTCAGGAGCAACAAACTTCAGACCTTCTGGTGTCTGCACAATTTGACCAGGAACAAATGTAACACCATTGTCATCGTTTTCTATAACTCGTCCAGGAACAAAACGTGGACCTTCTTCTGTATCAACTACTTGACCAGGCACAAATCGTGAGCCTTCATCTGTAGATATAACTTGACCTGGTATGAAGGTGGGTCCAGCTTTTGTTTCTATAATCTGCCCCGGGACAAATCGGGGGCCATCTATGGTATGAATAGTCTGACCTGGAACAAATTTTGGACCACTTTTTGTGTTGACTACTTGGCCAGGGACAAATTTTGGTCCATCACTGGTATCAACTACTTGGCCGGGTACAAATTGCTCTCCATTTTCAGTAAATACAATTTGACCAGGTACAAATATTCCCTCGACCATTGTTCCAGGTACAAATCGAGATTCACCAACGCCATTTTTGACCAAGCGTCCTGGTACTACTTTCCCTTCATTTTTAGGTACTCTTGACCCTGGATAGAATTCAATTCCTTTTGATGTTTGCACCATATGACCAAATACGTATAGCGATTCTTCGGACACAGAACAAGTTTTAATATTAATAGGTAAGCCAATTGGCATGCTATCAGAAAATTGTACATCTTCAATTGACTTAGCTATCGAAAATTCTACATTACCATTTCCTAGTGTTATGGTTTTACCAGGTACAAACTTTTCTCCGAAATTAGTTTGTATAATTTGGCCTTCAAGAAATTTGGGTCCATCAGGAGTGTCAACATTGGTTCCAGGAATAAACTTTAATCCCGATTCATCCTTTCTTGTTATTCCTGGCACAAAGCAAGGCTCTCCATTTACAGAGACAGTTTGACCCGGTATAAATTTAAGACCATTTGGAGTAGCCAATGTTGCACCAGGTATAAAGTGCGATTCATTATCTTTATGTACCACTTGACCAGGTACAAATTGCCATTCATTGTTAATTTTTGCATTCTGTCCAGGCATAAATACAATGTCACCATTTTCAGTAGAAGTCTGTCCAGGTATGAATTGTATACCATCGGGCGATGAAAGTGTTTGTCCTGGTACAAATACGTCTTCAGAGCATGTATGTATAATTTTACCAGGCACAAATTTAAAGCCTTCTTCAGACAGGACCGTTTGCCCTTCTGTAAAACGGTAGCTATTATCCTTATTCTTTATCACTTGACCACAAACAAATTTATCACCTTCAGGTGTCGGTATAATTTGACCAGCGAGAAAAACAGATTCATTGTTATTTTCATTTTGTATAATATGCCCAGGTATGAGGTTAACGCCTAGAGGCGTATTAACACTAAGCCCTGGTACGAAAACAGGTCCAGAAGGAGTTTCTACTGTTTGTCCTGCTATAAACACAGGTCCTTGAGGTGTGTTAACATGTTGGCCTGGTACAAACTTTTTTGCTTTATTAATGTCGAGGGTTAATCCTGGTACTTTCGCCACTTTTTCTCTTTTACCTTTTTTAATATGCTTTACAATTTCAGGCAAATCTTCGAGGTTCGGTATCATATCCATTTTATTTGCAAGTAGCATTTTTTCTGTAACATTTAAAGTTTCAGTCAATCGGTCGTGGGCTATTTCTTTAATAGCATTAATAATGTCTTCGGAAGGCCTATTTTTTATTGGTTTTAAAGGATTAATGCAAGGGACGTTTTCAAGAGAAACTGAATTTTCAGAAATATTATTATCAACTTGATATATTTCTGCTTCACACTGATATGGTGTTATTTGTAAAGGCGTTGGCAACATATTAACTTTAGGACAGTAACTATCTTCATTAATATGTTTATCAAATAAATCCCAATCAAACGATTCAATAAGTGGGTGCACTTGATCTCTCCAATCACCATTGCACATAACCATACTAGATTTTGAACGCATATGTTCCAAGTCAAAGTTGTTGTATGAAACACTTTTAAGATCATGTTTTTCATGGCGCACTTCCAATTTCGCTTTCTTTGCCATCCGATCTTGTTTTAGTTTATCTTCCTCTATTTCTTGAACTTCAGCTAATTTTTCTTTATTTTCAAATATTTTTTTCATAGAAGACAAAGCAGCAGCACGTTTTCTCTTTTTCTTCTTTTCTTCTATTTCTTCCTTTTCTCTCTTTCTTAATACTTCAGCATTTGGCCCCTCACCTTCAAACATCTCCACATCTTCAGCAAATTCTTTGAAATCCATCGAAACATTTCTGCCTTGTTTTGTTTTGATTAACACTGTATCCGAATCTTTAGCAAGCATAACATCCCTGACATCACCATCACGTACTGCTGCTTCCATTCGAGCGCAAAAAACTAAGCTACACCTTCTTTCATCAACTGTATAAACATATTTTTTATCTTCCGTTATTTGTTTCATAGAAAGCATTTCAATAAGTGCTTTTTGGGCTTCTGTAGAACCATCCAAAACGGGGAATATATATCTGTATCCAGGCAAAACATCATGCTTTCTGTTCCCATAGTTAATTTCAGGTGAATAGTGATGTGGTCCAAGCTCTCCTGATACATTTGTTATTTTGCACTTTGTTTTTCCGCTTCTTGAAGCTAAAAGAACTGGAATGTAATGGTGAGATGGAAGCCCATACGACTTCCCTGTAATTCTGCAACAACGTTTCGCATCCGCTGGTGATATAGGAGCCAGCAATGGAAAATAATTAGGTTTAGGCAACCCTCTACTTCTACCGGTTATCCGACAAAACGACATTTTTGTTTTTTAAGTCCTCATACTATTATTTTTATTGTTTACAAACACTATAGCCACCGGCTATGCGCACCGAATTTAAAAGTTTACGAAGTATTTTCCCGTACGCGGATAAACGTATGTTTTGGTTGACTGCTAAATAGCGACTGGCGAGCGTCGAGGTTCTTCAAAGCTTTACGTAGCGCGAGCGCATTAAATTCTCACCTTTGCGGAGGCAGACGGTGTGCCGTATATTTTTGTTCCGGTTAAACGCTATTTTTAAACATATGGATGCGTGTATTTACGAAAAATACAGTTGCATAAAATATTTGAAGGTATAAATATTAACCTCAATTTCTTATACTACGTTTTTATTTTTTAGTTATTTACAGCATTTTTTTAAATATGGTGCGTAAGCATCTCGACAATAAATAAAGAAAAATACGTGAGATTTTCTCAAGACAATTTTCAGAGCATATAAAAAAGGCATAAATACCTTTTGTCTTTGATTAAGAGGTAAAATAAATTAAAAGTTACGAGCGTGATAATTTACATCCATAGCACAAAGGATGCAGAAAAATTCAAATAATAAAGACAAAAAATATGTATTTCCGTAAATGTGTAAAGTTCGTAGTGTACATCTTGTTTAAAGTAATTAACAGAATATTATTAACTAATAAATTCAGTTAATTATACCTTTTAAAAAAGTTATTCTTATATACTGCTAGCAAAACTGTTGAAGGTGTTAACATCCAACTTATAGTCATTAAAAGGTGCCTAGAAAAATAGTTATCACGAAATATAACAGTAATAATTTCAACTAATTTCTAGAAATCTTTGCACGCAAATATAGTTGACAAAAATAAGCACGCTGAAGGTTTTAAATGCAAGGTTGTCGGTTGTCAAACAAACTGACGTTCAGCTTCCGTCATAGTCGGTTGACGACCCCGGCAAATTATATTATCCGTGAAAAGTCACCTAGTTTAAAAAGCTTGAAATTGTCGGTGTATAGGTTTCATACGAGACTTAAAACACAAAATGGTTTTAAATATCTTCAAAGATATACATCGAAGTAAATGTATAAACATTTAACTAAGGTGATATGAAAACGTCATTTACATGAAAACCCGATTCAAACTTTACAATGAAATCTGTGACGTCGGAAAATTTTGCAGCAGAGTTAAATTATCGTTTGTGTTAAATTGACATCACTGTTGTCTCATTATAGGTAAACACTAAACAGTAATCATCTTCTTATGACAAAATTAAGTATGTAATTTTTGTTAGTAAATAATAACGCGTAAAAAATAAGAGTTCGCATAACCGCCTGTTCTCTTTCTGCACACTCTCTTATATTACTTCAAAGTAATTTCCAAAAAACTAATTAATTCAAATTACGAGACGGTGAGTTAATAATACTGTGTGTCAATATACTGAAATTTCATTACGTTAATAACCAGAAAGAGACAATAGGAAACAAATTTTCCCAACATTCGGCAAACGAGCAATAGTTCAAAAATAGACCATATCAAACGCGATCAAATATAAACAAATGGATGTATCTTTTAATAGAAGAAGAGCTTTTAGTTTCGCGATAAATTTCGTTACCCATCAAAGAATGATTGCGCAAAGACAATCACACAATTTTAAATCAAAGCAATTTCAGGGAATTAAATGATTACTGCTGCTTTTATCTCGACATCTCATAAACTGTACGTGAAATATTGCTTTTTATTTTCTTAGATCAACCTAAAATGTACACGAGACTACTACCAATTTTAAAATGCTGGTTACGTTGGTGTAAAACATATGCACATAACAAATGAATTTTAAGGAGTACAGTGAAATAATAAATAGATTTGCGATAAACAATTGCTAATTTTATTAGTTTAATAAATACAAGAGCCTCGACGACTACTACGTTCTAGCCTACTCTAAAGAAACGACAAACTAAGAAAATAATGAAAATTCGCATTTATATCCGTTAATCAATATGCCAACACGTTTCTTTGATATCTTTAAATTGGTATATAGGAACGTTTGTAAGCCAATGCAATTTAGAGGTCTTGACATTCCTGAGAAATTACGAGAAATGTGATGGAGCCTTTCCAAAATACCTGTCCTTTGTTAAGATCCATTATTCTGAAGACAACGAGGAACAATGAGTGAGCAAAAGTAACATTTTCCTTAAAGCTAATTCGATATTCACCGAATCTATTTTCTATTTCCCACAGTTTTATTCTTAAGAAAAATCATAAAACTTTGTTACCTCGAAACTAAAATGTCTTGGCTTTTTCCGATGATTCATATAATGACTGTCGTAAAATGTGTAATGTATTGACAAAGTTGATATTTTGGCAACATGCGAATATATAAATTAGTTTTACCTATTAGTCGAAAGTATAATATTTGTTTCTAACGTATCATCAAACTTATATTGGGACAAAATATAGCAAAGATTATTTAAAAACTACACTTTGTCATACACTGATAAAACAAAGTAAGACATAGTAAAGGTAAAATTACTTAAATCGACAATGCGTCGATTAAAGTAAAACAGAAGGCCACTTTTTTAATAGCTAGCGAAATCTAATTTCTTTTTTCAATTAATTTTCTAATTTGCGTGTTGTTCCCACGAGAATGTATTTCACCATGCCTCCTGCTGATAGTGGTCATCTCAAATCTTTGTTTTTAATTTATTTTATTATTATTTATTACTTAAGATGTCATGTGGAACATGGTGTAATGGTTGCAGCTCCTTACAAACGTTGTGTAAAACAAAAAACTTGGCGATTAAAAAGAGAGGCGGAGAGTTTATTGCCAGTTACAGAGAACTGGCAGTAAATGTAAAATTAGAAGCATTTCATATATATTTTTTTTTTTGACGTTCATAAGTGTACATTGTTACCTATATGAATAAATTTTGAATTTTTTTTGAATGCATTAATCTATTGCATCGAAGAACAGTTGTATGGGTTTAAAACTATCACAAGTTCGCTATCGCTAGTTATATTTATTTGTTTACTAGCCTCAACCAGCGACTTCGCTTGAGATTCTTAGGGTATTTTAGCAAGTTTATTATTACTTCTTGAATAATTATAGTTATATTTCGATTGTACTTAAAGCTACAATTAATTATTTAAACCATTTCCTTAGGAATCACATACATATTGGTGAAAATCGGCGGCCTTTGTTGAGTTTATCGCGTTTATACTGACAGATTCTTCATATCAAAGGTACTCAATATTATGTTAACAAAAACATAATCATCAATACATTTTTAATACTATTATAAAAACCAGAACAGTTAACCCAAAATTGTAGCTAAATAGAATAAAAACAAAGTAAGCCGATATATTTTTGTCTACATTGTTTTTCTCAAAAATACCACAAAATGACAGATGTCTATTAGATTTTGGCGGGAAAAAACATTTAGACGACTCAAAATATAACGAGATGAAAGAAAATGGTATGATGCTTGCCAATACTGTGTTAGTGGAGAACGCTTTAAACTTTCGCCGTTTTATTATAAAAGGCTTTGAGTATAATCCAAGGGTTGAATAGTACTCGTCGTTCTATAATTGATTAAGCTCTTGATAAATTTCATTATTTTTTTTTCACATGATTTGTTCTGTAGAATGTGACTCAGAAATAAGAATTTGTTAAATCAATAAAAATAAAACCAAAGTACTTTCTAAATAACCATTCTATTGTAATAACCAAATATATCTATATAAAGCAATATTTCTTATATAGTTGTTCAGACTTCGGTTCAAACGTGTAATTAAAGAAGTTAAGTTTTCAAAATTTTATTAAAACTTGTTTCTACAATAAAAAATGAGTTTCCATTTGTATGGAGAAGAAAACTTGTATGACAATATAAACTTAACTAAATAAAATAAAGACAATAATCTAGTACATGAATTTAGTTTTCGCATAAATCAAAAATAGTGGGCGCCAGGCGTAGGTGCTGTTTGCACTCAAAATTTCAAATATAAACCTGTAACTTCTATGTACTACTTGTTTATTTGGATAATATTAAGAAAAACCGAACGCGGTGTAAGTAATGTTAAAAAAAAAAAGGGGGTTGTTTTTCCCCGCACGAGGGGAGAGCTTTTCCCCCTTTTTCATTTTTAATTTTGTTTTTTGGCCCCCAAAAAATTTCTTTTAAAAAAAAAAACCCGGGAGGGGGGGGGGGTTTTTTTTTTCCATTTTGGTTTTTTTTTTTTTTTTTTTTTTTTTTTTTTTTTTTTTTTTTTTTTTTTTTTTCCAAAAAAAAAAAAAAAAAAAAAAATTTCCCCCCCCCCCCCCCCCCCCCCGGGGGGGGGGGGGGGGGGGGGGGTTGGGGGTGGGGGGGGTTTTTGTGGTTTTTTTTTTTTTTTTTTTTTTTTTTTTTTTTTTTTTTTTTTTTTCTTTTTGTGTGTTGTTGGGGGGGGGGGGCCCCCCCCCCCCCCCCCCCCCCCCCCCCCCCCCCCCCCCCCGCGGGCGGGGGGCGGCCTTTTTTTTTTTTTTTTTTTTTTTTTTTTTTTTTTTTTTTTTTTTTTTTTTTTTTTTTTTTTTTTTTTTTTTTTTTTTTTTTTTTTTTTTTTTTTTTTTTTTTTTTTTTTTTTTTTTTTTTTTTTTTTTTTTTTTTTTTTTTTTTTTTTTTTTTTTTTTTTTTTTTTTTTTTTTTTTTTTTTTTTTTTTTTTTTTTTTTTTTTTCCTCTTTCCCCCCCCCCCCCCCCCCCCCCCTCCTTTTTTTTTTTTTTTTTTTTTTTTTCTTTCCCTTTTTTTTTTTTTTTTTTTTTTTTTTTTTTTTTTTTTTTTTTTTTTTTTTTTTTTTTTTTTTTTTTTTTTTTTTTTTTTTTTTTTTTTTTTTTTTTTTTTTTTTTTTTTTTTTTTTTTTTTTTTTTTTTTTTTTTTTTTTTTTTTTTTTTTTTTTTTTTTTTTTTTTTTTTTTTTTTTTTTTTTTTTTTTTTTTTTTTTTTTTTTTTTTTTTTTTTTTTTTTTTTTTTTTTTTTTTTTTTTTTTTTTTTTTTTTTTTT